TGTGTGTGTGTGTGTGTGTGTGTGTGTGTGTGTGTGTGTGTGTGTGTGTGTGTGTGTGTGTGTGTGTGTTGTGTATGTTTGTGTGTATATATATATGTAAACTTTAGTATAGATATACATGCATACATATGTATGTATATGAATCACACAAAACTCAATATTCCGGAACAGTTGCATATCATTTGTTCTTTTCTTCCTCGAATAAGCTTTGATGGAACAAAGGTACTACATCCTTGATCCTTATCGAAAACCCGGATACCTGTAGTATTTCCTGGGGGACAATTCCTGCACTTGGACACATTTTTTTTTATTGTTGTCATATTTTCGTATTATTCTCACGTTCCTTGTCCCCCGTTCCCCTCCCGGCTCGCTCCCTCTCCTCCTCTCTCCTCCCCTTCCTCCCTCTCCTCCCTCCTCCTCTCCTCCCTTCCTCCCTCTCCTCCCTTCCTCGGGAGTAGGCCAACCAACACATTAGTTTTGTGGTAAATGCTTGGCGGAGTGTGGAGGTGTTGTGCTTTGGTCTATAATATATAAGTGTGTGTGTGTGTGTTTTGTGTGTGTGTGTGTGTGTGTGTGTGTGTGTGTGTGTGTGTGTGTGTGTGTGTGTGTGTGTGTGTGTGTGTGTGTGTGTGTGTGTGTGTGTGTGTGTGTGTGTGTGTGTGTGTGTGTGTGTGCGCGCATATGTTTATGTGTCTGTATGGTTGTATGTAGATGTGCATGTATTATATGTATGTATATTATTGTATTTATGGATGTTTATGTGCATGTTCATTTCCCGTGTTTGGTTATGTGCACGTACATGTAAATATGCAAGAATGTGTCCTTTATACCACTTGTGTTCCGGGTAGCAAGGTGGAAAGGAGGAGGAGAGGGAGGGAAGGTGTAGGATCCACGGTATTGGGGGGGGGGTGTAGGATCCACGGTGGGGGGGTGTAGGATCCACGGTGGGGGGGTGTAGGATGGGGGGGAGGTGTAGGATCCAGGGTGGGGGGGGTGTAGGATCCACGGGTGGGGTGGGGGGGGTGTAGGAGGTGGGGGGGAGGTGTAGGATCCACGGGGGGGGAAGGTGTAGGATCCAGGGGGTGGGAGCTCTAGGATCCACGCCCCGCGGGGTGGGTGGGGGGGTGGGGGGGATTTGCGTGCGTGTCCCAGTGACCAGCCGCAGGAAGAAGGGTCCCACCGCACACCTGTACACATCGGTTCCGGTTGCGAGGGTCAGTCGGCAGCCCGAAGTGTGTCGGCAGGCACCGCACGCCCGCAAGAACCGACCTCGTAAGGGTTGGTCGGGAAAAAAAACGTTAATATCGGTTTTCCCGCCATCGTAAAGAACGGGAGTACGGACTTAAACTGAAAACGTGATCTTGCGATAGAATATTCGGTTATTCAGACATTGAACTGAAAATGTGATCTTGCGATGAAATGTTCGGTTATTAAGACATTGAGAGGGGTACTGGCTGAACGCCGGGACTTAGACGATGTGGAAAATTCGGATTTGTTGAGAGAATGTTCGTTAAACGGCTTTGAAAACGAGTCATTGATTTTGAAGATATGATCTAGTAATTGAATGTTCTCTTTTAAGAATTTGAACAACACGATTAGAAATTTATTATTTAATTCACCATTAAGAATATGCAATCGCGTAATAAGGCCATCTTTTGATACAAAATGGGCTGTTTATAGAAAAAAAATGTCGCAGATTACGAGCTTAAATATAAACAGGGAATTCTCTCTTAAATACGCGAAATTTCGAATTAAAAAACGGCTCTCTACTTCAACCGCTAAAACTTGATACGCAAACACGGTGGAATACCTCTTTTGATGTGTGGGATTACGTATTAAAAAAAGGATTAACTTCCCCCCCCCCCCCCACTTCCACCGCTGAACTAGATGGCGGTAGATGGCGCGGTTTCGCTGTCCGAGCAGTGACAGGAACCGGCGGCGGGAAAGGAAAGCAGTAGGTTAATCGCGGCCGCGCGGAGGAGACTGGCTGTTGACATTAATTTGGTTTACTTTGGGGTGGGTTTTTTGTTTTTGTTTGTGCGTGTTGGTTGTTTTTTTGTTTGTTGTTTGGGCTTGTTTTTGTTTGTGGTGTTGGTTGTTTATGCTTGTTTGTTGTTTGTCTTGTTAGCTTGTGTTGTGCTTGTTTGTTGGTTGTTTATGCTTGTTTGTTGGTTGTTTATGCTTGTTTGTTGGTTGTGCTTGTTGTTGTCTGTCGTTTATGCTTGTTGTTTATGCTGGAAATTTGTCGGTTTAGATGTATGAAGGTTGGTCACTTCCGCTAGAGGATTGCTTTATTTGGTTACTCTGTTTTTGTTTGTTTGTTTTCATTTCAAAAGGGATTGGGTATTTTGGTTGGAGAGAGTACGTTGAAGGAAGTAATTTTGATTCGAAGATAAGAAAAAATTCGCATGTCGGTCTTGGGTTCTTAGATGAACATATCTCTCTCTCTCTCTCTCTCTCTCTCTCTCTCTCTACTCTCGCTCTCTCTCTCTCTCTCTCTCTCTCTCTCTCCTCTCCTCTCTCTCTCCCTCTCCCTCCTCCTCTCTCCATCTCTATCTATCTCTATCTCTATCTCTATCTCTATCTCTATCTCTCTCTCTCTCTTCTCTCCTCTCTATCTCTCTCTATCTCTCTCTCTTCTCTCATCTATCTATCTATCTATCTAATCTATCTCTCTCATCTCTCTCTCTCTCAGTCTCTCTCTCTCTCTCTCTCTCTCTCTCTCTCTCTCTCTCTCTCTCTCTCCTCTCTCTCCTCTCTCTCTCTCCCTCTCTCTCTCTCTCTCCTCTCCTCTCTCTCTCCTCTCTCTCATCTCTCTCTTCTCTCTTCTCCCTCCTCCTCCCTCCTCCCTCCCTCTCTCCCCTCCTCTCCCTCCTCTCTCCCCTCCCCTCTCCCTCTCCTCTCTCTCCCCTCTCTCTCCCTCTCTCTCTCCCTCCTCTCTCTCTCTCTCCTCTCCTCTCTCTCTCCTCTCTCTCCTTCCCTCTCTCCCTCTCTCTCTCTATCTTCCCTCTCCTCTCTCCCTCAAGTATGGTTTCGTATCCGTTCCCGTAAATCCGTTTTGTTTAGCGTCTGCGAAGAAACGTGACTTTCTCCCCCCCCCCCCGTCTCTCCCGCCTCCAACCTGCCTCGTCACTCCAGAAGCACCACGTCCGCTGCTTCGTCCGTAATAGCCTCTGCTGTAGTGGAGGCGGGGGAGATGCTGCTTGGTCTCGTGGAGTCTCGTGCTGTAGGGGAGATACGAGATGCTGCGTGAGAGATGGTGATGCTGTTTGACTTGCAGTTGTCTGTGCTGTACAGTGGTGGAGGAGAGAGAGATGGTTCTTCAGCGACAGTTGCCTGTGTTATGAGTCGCAGGAAAAGCTGTTTGGTCTCGTGGGAGTCTCGTGCTGCAGTGAGACACGTGATGTTGCTTGAGATAATGCTGTTTGACTTAGTTGTTTATGCTGTACAGTGGCTGAGGAGAGAGATGCTGCTTCATCCGCAATTGCTTATGTTATGAGACGCAGGAAATGGCGCTTGGTGTAGCGTAATTGAGTCTATGTTGTAGTGAGGGAGAGGAGATGCTGTCTCGATCTGGAACAACCCATGCTTGCAGAGACGCAGAATATGTTGTTTCATCTATAGTGAGTTGTTTTTTTGAGGAAGAGGTTGCTGTCATAAGGCATAGAAATTGCTGTTCGCTTCTCATGCTTCTCACGTCATCAACCTTCCCCTGTGGGAAAAAAAGATATATACGAAATGATCATAGTAGTTTCGTTGTGTAAATGGAAACAGGAAAGAGAGCTGAACGATAGAAGGTTTTAGTCGTCGCTAATAGACTTGTTAAGGTTTTGTTTAATATCTTTGCTTGAATTGTTTGTTCATAGTCATTATAAAAAGATATATTCATCTGTATAAATTTATTGGTTGATATGTCAAGGGACCTTAAATTTTTTGTCTCTTATTTCATATTTATCCTATTTTAAATTCCAAGTTTATAAATTGAAAATACACCTGGAAATAATCATCATGGGGTTAAACATTCGTATAAATCCACATTTTTTGTTGATATGTTAAGGGACTTCATTTTTTGTTTTTATTTCATATTCACCGTATTTTAAATTCCAAGTTTATAAATTGAAAATACAGCGACTTGGAAATAATGATAATGGAGTTAAACATTCGTATAAATCTTCCACATTTTTTGGTTGAGTTTTGTGTGCCACTTCGAAGGTTAGCGAGTGGTCAGTAGTCCCGTTTTATGTACAAGATCGCTGGCTTGGTATATAGAGAGAAGGTGTAGAGTGTATTTTAGTGTTTTTGTTGTTTGTTGCTTGCTTGGATAAACAAGAGTGGCGTCTCTCTTTTTTAAACCTTCTGGTATTACTGGTGTTACTTCTTTGTTTTTGTTATTCATGATATTGTTATTATTGTCACTTTCAATGTCGTCGTCATTGTCATATGTATATAATATATATAGTCATCATCATCATGATCACCATCACATCATCATCACCATCATCATCATTGTCTTGATTGTTACTGTTGCCATTTTGGTGAATATTTAAAAGGAAATTGGAAAAAAAAATATAGGCATAATTTTCGTGGCGCTCACCTAAACTACTCTAAAAACGCCTCTAAAACGGTCTTCTGGAAAGCTCTTCAAACGTCCATGGAAATATGTTGACGTGTGAACATGCGCAGACAACAGGCACCGAGGTTGTCCGTCTCCAACACCGATCCGTGGCGTCTCCGGCTGGAAATCGGCGCAGATGTCGGTGCCGCGATGGTGGCGGCCATATGTTGATAGCTAATGAAATCGGCGGATTGATGGGCGTATCGTGTGACGGCAGGGAATTAGAAGCGTGGGGGGCGTGCGGGCGCGGTGTTGAGCAAGTGTGATGTCACTGCACCGCCAGGCACGGGGTGGGGTGATTACCTGAAGGATGTGTGTGAGTCATGATGCAATTCGATTGGTTAATGTCTTGAATTCACTGTTTTATTTTTTCCTTCTTCCTCAGGCATGCGGATGTTAGCGACCGCGCTGGTGCTCCAGGCTCTCGCGGGCGCGGGCGTGCGGGCGTACTCGCAGGGCGCCCCCGACACGACGTGCAGCAGCCTGGAGCCGGGGCACAGGGCGAGCAAGCAGACGGGCCCCTCGCCGTACTCCATCGCCCCGGGGAACGCCGAGGTCGAGCCGGGCAAGAAGATGCTGGTGACGCTGGAGGCGGCGCAGGACCCCTTCATGGGGTTCCTGGTGCAGGCCCGCGGCGCCGACAGCCAGGAGGTGGTGGGCACCTTCTTCACCACGGACCACGCCTACCTCACCTGCGGCAAGGGCTTCAACGTGAGTGCCTACACCTGGATTTCCCTTCGGTTGTCGCTCGGAAGACGTGGCTCGGCTCTTAATCAGGGTCGCCTCTCACCCGCAGATAGGAGCTCGCCCATGCTTTATCTTGGATGGGCTGGCCTCGTAAACATAGAGCCGTGAGCCGTGGTTGCACTGGCGAAGAGACCTTGAATGCAAAGAGTGTGTGAGCATATTTTACCCCCGGGGAGCGCGGCCCGGTTCGGTGACTCCAACGCCGCTGTGTCATGATCCTCGGCGCTCTCTCGCTCGGGTGGCGTGTGCGGTCGAGCTCGAGTCGGGCTCTCGTTTAAGATCTCAAAATCGCCTCTCCTTCTCCTTCTATCCTCCTTCCTCCGCCTTCTTCTCTTCTCTTCTTTGTTTTTAACACTCCTCTCTCTCCTACTTCCTCCCTACCTCCCATCCTTTAGTCTACCCATCCTCCCTCTCACCCTCCTTTTCATCGTCCCTCCATCCTCCCTCCTTCCCACTCTCTCTCTCCCTGCCTCCTCCCTCCTCCCTCCTCTCTCCTCCCCTCCCTCTCCCTCCACCCGCATCCTGCTCCGCCTCCGCTCCTAGCTACCTGCCTTGAGTCATACCTGTGGCGACGCAGCTTCCTTTAAACCCCGGGCAGCGCTTATCCATCAGCTGCTACTTTCTCATCTCCCGTGCCCACTCTTTCTCTTCTCTTTCTCTCTCTTTCTCTCTTATCTTCTCTTTCTCTTTCTCTCTTTCTCTTTCTCTTTCTCTTTTCTCTCTCTCTCTCTCTCTCTCTCTCTCTCTCTCTCTCTCTCTCTCTCTCTCTCTCTCTCTCTCCTCCTCTCTCTCTCTCTCTCTCTCTCTCTCTCTCTCTCTCTCTCCCTCTCTCCCCCCCTCCTTTCTCTCCCTCCCTCCCCCCTCTCCTCCCCCTCTTCCCCTCCCCTCTCCCTCCCTTCACCTTATGATTTTTTTTTTTTTTGCGAAAACGAATCCATGGAGGAGAGACAGGGAACAGGTGTGGAGTTTCGACCAGGTGTCGGAAGCCTTATTAAGTTCCGATTAGGGAAGTCCAGGAGAGGATGCTGTAGGGGAGAGAGAGAGAGAGGGAGAGAGAGAGAGAGAGGGAGAGAGAGAGAGAGGAGAGAGAGAGAGAGGAGAGAAGAGGAAAGAGAGAGAGAGAGAGAGAGAGAGGGAGAAAGAGAAGAAGGGAAGAGAGAAGGTGAGTAAGAGGGAAGGGAGGAGAGAGAAAGGGGAAAGGGAGAAGAGGGAATGAGGAAGAGAGCAAGGAGGAGAGGGAAAAGGTGAAGGCGGATAGGTAAGGAGGGAAGGGAAGACGGGGAAGGAGAAAAGGGAGGAGAAAGAGGAGAAAGGTAGAAGGGGCAAGATATCGAGAGGTAAGCGTGGAGCACGGAGCGAGGTGAGGCTGGAGGGGGGGGGGGTGCGAGGGAACGGCGGGTTGGCGTGAGAGGTTCGTCTCCAGAGGTTCACATAACGGGCCGCCGCGCTCATGATGCTGGCTCACCCTCCCCCGTCACCTTCCCTCCCTCCCTCCTTCTCCCCCCTCCTCCCTCCTTTTCCCTTTTCCCTCCCCTCCTCCCTTCCTTTCCTCCCTCCTCCCTTTCCTTTCCCTCCCTCCTCCCTGCCTTTCCCTCCCCCCCTCCTCCCTGCCTTCCCTCCCTCCGCCTCCTTCCCCTCCCTCCTGTCTCCTTCCCCTCCTCCTGTCTCCCTTCCCCTCCCTCCCCCATTTCTTGGCCTCCCTTCGCCTCATCTCCCTCCCCCCTCTTGCCTCTCTCTCGCGGCCCTTCACCTCCCCTTCCTTGCCTATTTCTGTTCCTCCCCTTCTTCTCTGTTCTTCTGTCTTTCTTTTCCCTTTCTTTTTCTCTCTCGCTTTCTCCCCCCTCCTCTCCCCTTCCTCCTCTCCCCATTGTCTGTAATTACTTCCTGCACCTGTTCGCCTTTGCTTGCCTCTCCTTCTCTCTCCTTTTATTGTATCTCCTCGTCCCTTTTCTCTCCTTTATCCAATCTTCCTTTGCCTCTTTTTCGCCTCTTTTTTCCTCTTTCCCTCTTTCTGACCCATCTCTTCTTTCTTCTGAATTTCCTTATCCTCTTCCCCCCCTCTCCTTTCCTTTTCTTCGCTTCTCTCTCTCTCTCTCTCTCTCTCTCTTCTCTCTTCTCTCTCTCTCTCTCTCTCTCTCTCTCTCTCTCTCTCTCTCTCTCTCTCTCTCTCTCTCTCTCTCATCCTTCATCTCCGGTGTTCCTTCTCTACCTCTCCCATCTTTATCGAATATCTACGCCCACCTTTTCATTCACATTCACTCCACATTTAGCCCTCCTTTAGTCCACAAACATTAGATACTGTTTCACTTTCAGACCACATTTACTCCATATTTTGACCACCCTTACTTCACATACAGTCCACGTTCATCCACTTTCAGTCCACTGTCAGCCCGCGTTAGTCCACTTTCAGTCGTTCCACTTTCAATCCACAATTAATCCACTTTCAGCCCACAATTAGTCCACTTTCAGTCCACATTCATCCAGTTTCGGTTCACCTTCATCCACTTTCAGTCCGCAATTAGTCCACTTTCAGTCCTCATTCATCCATATTCATCCACTTTCAATCCGCATTTAGTCCACACACAGTCCGGCTCCAGCCAGTGGAATCACGTGCTGGCCAGGCACGTGTTGACGCATTATTTTACCCCCCCCCTCCCCCCGACATTCCACTTCATTCTCCTCCACCCACGCCCCCGGGACACCACACCCCTTTCGCTCGCCACTTCAATTCGTACGCACCACACCATTCCAGCCGCCTCACCCACCGATTTCCGATCCACCACACACGTCCCCTGAGTCACCACCACCCCGAGTCGCGTCGAGGTACCCAGGCAGTTCACTTAAGCTTGGGATGGTGCTGACGTCATCACACACCACAGATTCGGCAGTTCACTTAAGCTTGGGATGGTGCTGACGTCATCACACACCACAGATTCGGCAGTTCACTTAAGCCTGACGTCAGCTTCTTCAAGATCTAGTTACCCATGCGCTTGGCAAATGCTTGATGTGGTGGTCGGGGAGGTGCAAGTAATGCGGCGAACCACCCTGTTACGTTACTTAGAGAATTGTGAACACACGCGCGATTTCCGAGACGGGGACCACCCACCTCGGTCGCCGGGCTGGTAAAAAGGGGTACGCCACACACTACACACTTGCGCCGTGGAAGCTGGATCGCTCGGTTGCAGTCCAGCCTCCGCGCTAAGCTTACAGTTCAGAGAAAACATGAGTCAACTAGAAATAGCTGAGAAGGGCCGGACCACTCTAGAGAAAGGGCCCGGGCGTAGCTAGTCATCGCAAAACTAGCTGAACTGAACTGAACTGAACTGATGTCGTCCTCTTCCTCCTCCTGGTTCTTCTTGTTTTTTTGGGGTCTTTTGCTTCGTCTTTTTTTTTTGTCTTTGTCTTCTTCTTCTTTTTCGTTGTCGTCGTCTTCTCCTTTTTCTTCTATTTCTTCTTTTTCTCCGTGTTCTCCTTCTTCGTCGTCATCGTCTTTTTCCTCTCCTCCCTCTCTTCTTTTTTTCCTCCTCCTCCTCCTCCTCCTCCTTTTCCCCCCTCCTTCCTCATCCTCCTTCTCGGTAGCACGATAACTTTTTCTCCTTTCTTTTATTATTCCTATTAATATTACATTTATTTTCCCCCCCTTTTCACTGCCCCACGACTCGCCGACCCCAAGGTAGATCGGCAGAGGAGGAGGAGAAGCTGGGAGGTGGCAAGTGGCCGCTTTATCTAGGTTAATGCGACAGCGCGGGTGACGGTCGTAGCTCGTTGTGGCCGCCGGGAGCGAGCGGGCGAGTGAGTGAGGGTAGTGAGTGAGGGGGCGAAGTGATGAGTGAGTGAGCGGCGGGCGAGGTGAGTGCGACGAGGAGTGAGTGCGAGTGAGTGGAGGCGAGTGTGAGGCGAGTGCGAGTGAGTGAGGGCGAGTGCGAGTGAGTGCCGAGTGCGAGTGGCCGTGAGAGTGAGTGCTGAGTGAGTGAGTGGTGCCCGAGTGCCCCCGAAGGTCTCGGACGCCGCTCGGGGGGGAAGCCGGGAGGAAACTTCGTATGCGGTGTTGGGTTTTTTTCCTTTTGTTTCTCTTTGTTTTTCATCCTCTCTTATTCTTTTTTTTCTTCTTTCTTTTCTTTCTTCTCTCCTTCTCCTCCTCCTCGTCGTCCCTCCTCCTTCTCTTCCTCCTCCTCCTCCTCCTCCTCCTCTCCTCCTTCTCCTCGTCGTCGTCGTCTTCCTCCTCCTCCTCCTCTCTCCTCCTCCTCCTCCTCCTCCCTCCTCCTCCTCCTCCTCCTCCTCCTCCTCCTCCTCCTCCCTCCTCCTCCTCCTCCTCCTCCTCCTCCTCCTCCTCCTCCTCCTCCTCGTCATCCCTTTACCATTCGGACTTCTGACATTTTATAATATCTAATAATTTCTCGGCCATTTGTCGTTTGGCGATCGTCTCGTGATCGGATAATTACGGTGTAAAATTTGCGGATGACATACGCTTTGTAAAAAAAAAAAAACGAGAAAACGAGATTTTCCATTTAATTTCTTTCGTTTATTTGGATCAGGGTCGTGTTTAAATCGCCGCGTTTCACTTGTTTTTTTCTTTTTTTTTTGTCTTTTCTTTTTCTTTTGAATTACGTTTATTTCAAGTTCATTTAAGCAATGTAGAAATTATCGTTCGGTCTCTCGATTTTGTTGTAGAGTGGATTGGTGATGTTGAACTTAGAAAAAAAAATGGTTCGCTTTATGACTTAAATTATGTTTTTTTTTTTTTTTTTTTTTTTTTTTTTTTTTTTTTTTTTCTTTAGTTTTAAGGTTTTAAGTGCAGTGGGCGTTGGCCAAATTTTTACAAGAGTTTATATGTTGTTGTAAGGTGCTCGTAACTAATATTTTATTTTGTTTTATCTATTTATTTATTTTTTTTTTTTTATTTATTTTAAACTTTTTGAGAATATTTATTTATTTATTTTATTTATTTATTTATTTTTTTAAAT